GTCACCTGCTGGACTGGAGACGTGCTAACAGAGCAGGAGCTGCAGGAGGAGAAGCAGGAGGAGAAACAGGAGGAGAAGCAGGAGGAGAAGCAGGAGGAGAAACAGGAGGAGAAGCAGGAGGAGCTGCGGTTTAATGGTTTACAGCTAACAGAAGTATTATAGACCAGTCTCTTTTGGTTTATTTTTTATATATATGTATATTAGGGCTGAAACAATTAATGGGATTAATCAATTATTGGAAAAATAGTCATCTGAGTTACTAATGGATTAATCATTAACTTTAGAGACTCTGCCTTTAGCTGACAGAGCGATCCGCTGAGAACAGGAATTATAACAAGGTTGTAAAGAAAATATATAAACATTTAGCATTTAAGATAAATAAAAAAACACTTCTACTGTGGATCTGCTCTATCCAGAACTACTAAAGTAGAAAAGTTTTAGTTTCACCTTGTTTAATTTCATTGTCTGCCTGACGTCCCAGCATCTCCTAAACTCTGGCAGACGCTGAACTTTCTATGGATTGTTTCTATTCTGAGCGTAAACATAGAGGATTCAGAACGAGTCCAGAACTTCTGTCCAACCTTTTGGATGAAACGACTTCCTGTTTTTTCCAGGATCTCAGTCAGCTTCCAGGTGGTGAGGACCAGCTCGTTTGTTTGATGCTGAGACGCTCTCCCTCTGTTGGACCCACAATGATCTGAGTTTCTACTCCATTAAGCTAACGATGGATGGATTATTTCCTCCGGCTCATATTTGCTGGCATTTTTCTGATATCAGATCTGTGTGTGCTTGTTGTTTGGGGATCCTTTAGCTGTGATGATCAAACATAATAACCGCAGTCATGCAGTTGGTCAAACAGTATCCAGCCTGATGGAGCGCTCACATGGCAGCATTCCTGAATCCCACTGCAGCCTGAGCCGCCGCTGCTGCTTTTGGGAAAGTTTGCTTTCCAGGATTATCCAGACCTGGCTGATTAAAAGCTGTTATTGCAGGGCTGATTGCTCACTTTGTCAGCTGTTTTCCAGAGAGAGCCTTCAGTTAAAGGGGTTTCTGAACATTAATAAGATGATGAAGTAAATATCCACACAGAGCGGAGCGCTCTGGTATCTTATCTATACTTGCAGCATATAATCCTATGTGTAAATTGCTGATCAGAGCACATCATGAAATGCCTCGCGCTGTAATCTGTCACTGCAACGCTTGAACAGCCTGTCAGGAACACGCGGAGCGCTCAGTGTGGTGAAAGTCCACTTCCTTTTTCCCAGAGGATTCTGTAAGAGAACATTGACTCAGAAAGGGAAGAAACTTTCTTATTTGGTTAGTAATATGCTAGTTTAACACGCGTGACAAAGTTCATATGGAAAACAGGCTTAAAGGTCGAGGCTGCGCATGTAACTGAGGTTCAAAGGTTCAGTGATCTGAGCTGATGGCCCTCAGGAGGCCACGGCAGATACCGTCAGGAGCTGCAATAAGCTGCTGGCTCCACATTCACCCTTCCTCTCACCTTTTCACCCGCAATGCTCCTAAATATGAGGTGTCCTATTCCTTGTCAACTGCCGACTCTGTTGGCCCGTTCAAACCAATCATCTCATCTCTGCTCCAGCAGATCAAACTGCCGGTAGTAACCATTAGTTTGCAAATTGATTAATTGACAGATTAATCTGGGGGAGTGGTGGCCTACTGGTCAGTGCAGTGCTCTGTGCTCTGAGAAGGTTGCAGTACCTGGTTTGATCCCAACAGACTGCCACTCTGGGTCCCTGAGCAAGACCCTTAACCCCACCCTGCTCCCCAGGTGCCGCACAATGGCAGCCCACTGCTCCCCAAGGGGAGTGGTTAAAGGCAGAGAGGGAATATCTCCAATGTGACATCTATACATTTCAATTATTATTATTTTTTATTAATAATCTGATAGGCAGGGGTTCATTAATGGCCCCCTTTTCACCTTATCGATTTAGACCAGCGTATGCCTGATGAAAGGAGAATCTGGCAGAAAAACGCTGCCATAGGTTTTGTATAAGTTATGAGCATGTGCATAACTGCTGCGTGTTCTGGATGGAGCAGATTGACAGGAGAAACGTTCGTTAAACTTAAAGTTCATGTATTTTGTTTTGGTTTTTTTACAATCTCATAATTCCTGCTCTCAGTGGGTGGCTCTGTCAGCTAAAGGCGTGTTTTAGATTAGTCGATTACTGAATGAGTTGACGATTATTTCAATAATGGATTAATCCAATTAATTATTTCAGCCCTAGTTGAAACATTAATGTTGATTGATTGTTGAATGCTGTATAGTGTCTGAACCGTCATGAGGTTAACGACGGTTTATCTCTCAGCTCAGGTCACTGGGAGACGTCTGTTCTGACTGTTTTCAGAAAGCAGGGCTGAAAAAACTAAAAACCGCTTAAAAGCCTCTAAAGAGAAGCAGATGTAAACGTGCCGTTTGTTGCCAACCAAAGCTCGTCATGACCGGGCTGTGGCCAGGACGAGCGACCGGCTGGCTGCGGCCAGAGTGAGCGACCAGGCCACGGCGAGCAACCGGCTGTGGCCAGGGCGAGCGACCGGCTGGCTGTGGCCAGGGCGGCCAGGGCGAGCGACCGGCTGGCTGCGGCCAGGACGAGCGATCAGTGCAAAGGACAGGTCCCTAGCGACAGAGCGGTTTGCTCTGGGGCTAGAATCTGTTTAGAGCCAATTGTCATCAGGTAATAATCAGTTTTTCATCGAAGCGTCTGGATTGTTGCAGGACTTTTTAGGACTGTCCTGTTTTACAGCAGCCTGGCCACCATAACACAGCGAGCACATGGCTAATTAGCATAACAGGCCAGGATGCCTGGAGCTTATTTCTGAACAAGCCATGCTGGGACTGAATGTCACTTATGTTTCTGACTGGCATGAATGACGTTGAGTTGAAGGGAAGGAGGGCAGGTTTGACACGGTGTGCCAGGCTGACAGTCCCTCCATCGTTCACCACACCAGGGATTCCCCCCTCCTCTTTGCTGATGGTGTTTATGGCATTCCTGTTTTAAGGAAAGGTTTGTGGAAAAGGCCTCAAACATGTGAATATTCCCAGGAACGCCTATCTCTCTATGTTAAGTAACAACCAAGTTAATATTTAATAGAAACTTCTCTTTATGGTGAAGAAAAGCTTCCAGAAACAGCAGCTGACCATAAAACTGATAACAGTGGCTGATTGGAAGAGAGCTGAACCGTGCGTCCGTGTTGGAGGTGTTGGTACATCATGTTAGCTCCGAGGTCATATTGAAATGATTGGCCTCCAAATATGCCGTGGCTGGCATACTGTGGCTGACATGGCCGTACTGTGGCTGACACGCCGTACTGTGGCTGACACGGCCATACCGTGGCTGGCATACTGTGGCTGACACGCCGTACTGTGGCTGACACGGCCATACCGTGGCTGGCATACTGTGGCTGACACGCCGTACTGTGGCTGACACGNTACCGTGGCTGGCATACTGTGGCTGACACGCCGTACTGTGGCTGACACGCCGTACTGTGGCTGACACGGCCGTACTGTGGCTGACACGGCCGTACTGTGGCTGACACGGCCATACCGTGGCTGGCATACTGTGGCTGACACGCCGTACTGTGGCTGACACGGCCATACCGTGGCGGACATACTGTGGCTGATATGGCCGTACCGTGGCGGACATACTGTGGCTGACACGGCCGTACCGTGGCTGACACGCCGTACTGTGGCTGACATGGCCGTACTGTGGCTGACA